AGAGGAAATGAAATCAATAATAACAGAATACTATGAAAAGCTCTGATAAATTTGAAAACCTAGAGGAAATTTATAAATTCCTTGAAATGCATCCCCTGCACAGATTGACAAGGACAGATATAGAACACTTGAAAAGGCCCATCACAAGAGAAAAAATGGAAAAGGTAATAAAAAGACTTCCCCATAAGAAAAGTCCTGGACCAGATGGCTATACAGCCAAATTCTACCAAACATTCAGAGAGGATTTAGCACCCATTATACTTGCATTATTTTTAAAAACTGCAAAAGAAGAAACACTTCCAGAGTCATTATATGAAGCAAGGATAACCCTAATACCAAAATGAGGCAAAGACATTACCAAGAAAAGAAACTACAGAACAATATCTCTTATGAATAGAGATGCAAAAATCTTTAACAAAAGCCTAGCCAGTAGAATTCAAAAGCACATAAAAAAATAATTAACCATTACCAAGTGGGATTCATAATAGGTATGCAAGGGTGGTTCAACATAAGAAAAGCAATCAATGTAATTCACTATATTAACAAAGTAAATAATAAGAACCATATGATCTAAGCAATTGATGCAGAAAAGGCATTTGACAAAATCCAACACCCCTTGATAAAAATACTCACCAAAAATGGACTAGAAGGGAATTTCCTCAACATAGTGAAAATTATATCTGCAAAACCAAGAGCCAAGATCATTGTCAATGGAGAAAGACTAAAAACGTTTTCCTTGCAAAAATGGACCTGACAAGGTTGCCCACTGTCACTACTTCTTTTCAGTATTGTATTGGAATTGTTTGCTAGGGCAATATGACCAGAGAAGGAAAGAAAAGTCATCCAAATTGACAGAAATGGCTAAACTGTTGCTATATGCAGATGATATGATAGTGTACATATGAGACTCCAAAGACTCAACAAAAAAACTATTAGAGTTAGTAGATAAATTTAACAGAGTGGCAGGATATAAGATTAATAGCCAAAAATCAATAGTATTCCTCTATAGTAACAAAGAGAACTCAGAGAAGGAAATAAAGAAAGCAATACCATTTACAATAGCCAACCACAGTTGAGATACTTGGGAGAGAGCCTCACTATAGATACAAAAGACCTAAACAAAGAAAACCACAGAACATTTGTGCAAGACACAATAAAAGACCTAAAGAAATGGAAAAAAAATGTGCTCTGTTCATGGTTAAGAAAACTCAATATTGTGAAAATGACAATCCTACCAAAAGCAATCTACATGTTCAATGCAATCCCAATCCATATATGAAATGGATTTTTCAAGGTCATTGAAAGGGAAATTATCAAATTTATTTTTGAGAGGCAAGAGACTCCAAATAAGCAAAACACTTCTGAGAAACAAAAATGAGGTGAAAGGCATAGCACTCCCTGACCTCAGAACTAACTTCCTACACAGTAGTAACCAAAACAGCATGGTACTGGTACAATATCAGGCACACAGACCAATGGAACAGAATTGAGAACCCAGAAATAGACCCAGCTATCTATGGTCAACTGATATTTGATAAGGAAATCAAAGCATCAAATGGGAAAATGGTAACCTCTTCAACAAATGGTGCTGGTAAAACTGGACTGAAACAGGATTCACATCTCACACCACACACAAAAATCAACTCAAGGTGGATCAGAGACCTGGGAGTAAAGCCCAAAACCATAACGTTCATAAGAGACAAACTGGGGTCAAGCTTATAAGTGCTAATCCAAGGTAAAAAGAGATTGCCAGATACAACCAGAAATACACAATCTGAAGAGGATAAAATTGATGCATGATACTTTCTAAAGATTAAATCCATGTGTGCATAAAAACATTTTCCAAAAGGTGAAAAGAAAATCTACAGACTGGCAACAAATATTTGGCAATACCATCTCAGATAAGAGTCTTATAACAAAAGTTTACAGAATACTACTGGGCCTCCACAAGAAAAAGATTGATCACCCAATTACAAAATGGGTAAAAGACATGGAAAGAATTTTCACAAAGGCAGATATTCGAATGGCAGACACATGAAGAAATGCTCCAAATCACTGGCAGTAAGAGAGATGCAAATCAAAACCACAATGAGGTATCATCTCCCTCCAGTAACAGTGGCAAAATTTAACAGGGCAGCAAGTAAAAAATGTTGGAGAGGATAAGGCAAGAAAGGAAATCTTATACATTGTTGGTGGATTGTAAAATGGTACAACCATTCTCGAAGGCAGTTTGGCACTCCCTCAAAAAAAGCTGAACATAAAAACTCCGTATGACTCAGCTATTCCATTATTTGGAATACACCCTGAGAGAAATGATAACTGAGGCACAAACGGAGATTTGTACACCAATAGGTATAGCAGCATTATTTGCAAGAACGTGGAAACAACCCAAATATCTAAGTACAAACAAATGAATTGAAAAATTACAGTACATTCACACAATGGAATACTATGCAGCACACTGGAGCAATGATTCTGTAAATTATTACCTAACTTGGGAGGGACTGGAGAACATTATGCTGAGTGAACTCACTTAGTGCCACAAGGATAAATACTGTATAAAACCATTATTGTAAAATGAGTATAAGGATCGAAGAGGGGTGGGAGAGATTGGAAACAGAGGTATGAGGATGTGCAGGGAGGAGGGAGGGATTAATTATGGGGTTGTACAATTTGGTGTGTGTGGATGAGGGAAATTGAAAGAATTTGTTCTTGAAAACAATGCTTTCAAATTTTGTAAATAAGGTAGTAGAATATTAAACAAAGCAAAACAAAGAGCCACTATTGGTGTGCGTGTACGAGGATCCAATTGTGGGATGGGAAGATGACTTAAACATAGGGTTTCACAATTTGATGGGTGGAGGGAGGGATTTGTAAAGGAAAGGGAAAAGTCCGGTGTGAAAAACAACGCATATGAACTTTATATGTAAACCAGTACAAAATAAAATTTTAAAAAGAGAAATTGCAAAAGAAACAAAAGAAAAACCCCCAAAAGCAAAAATGTTTGCAACTTGATCAGTGAAGAAGAATGTGATGATAAACAAAGAAATAAAAACTGAAATTGTGCCATATTTAACTTTACATCTATCCACAAGCATTGTCCTTAAAATCAGCCTTCATTAAACCAACTGGGAGGATGAAAAAAAGAAATCCAATTGTACACAGCAATAACTAAGTCTGATGCAAAGGACTTTAAATGTTAAAGAGTAACACTATTACTTTCAAGACTAGGGAATTTCAAGAAAGTGGATCAACAAATAGGATAGATAGGAGTAGAAGTGATGTCTTTGATTTGTATTTGGTGAAAACACTGAATATGCCTTGAATTACTAAATGAACAAATAAACCTGTCTTTAGAGAAGTACAGATGGAGAAGGACGTCAAATGGTAATTTAGACTGTAAAATAAATATTTCTTTTACACCTAAGCATCTTTACTTCAAACTGAGAGGAAAAACAAGTGGATTATGAGCGTGAAGAGTGTGGTAATTGAGAAATTAAAAACAGAGAATAGAAATTGGGAGGCAAATGGTTCAGTGTCTACAGGATACACACCTGTGATGGTGTTTTTCTCAGATTTCTCCATGTGTCATTTTCTGTCTCTATAGGGGATAGTAAGTGACTCGATAGCACATATCAACAGCAACATAGGGGATAGTTAGAGGTCTAGCAGTACATCAATGGTTTTGTTTGCAGAGGGAGTAAGTAGAAGAGCAGTGTAACTCCCTTGATTTCGGTGATCTGAATGCTATAAAAGAGGTCCTGCAAGTGCAGTGATTAAGCCCTTGGCTACTAACCCAAAGGACAGCAGTTCAAATCTATCAGCTAAAGATGTATCAGTCTACTTCTACAATGATTACAGACTGGGAAACTCTGTGGGCAAGTCTACTCTGTTCCAGAGGGCCAGTATGTGTCCATCAGAATGGACTTCTTATCTTTGTTTTATTGTTAAAAGAGGAGTCCCCCTGGGTGAAGCAGTTAAGGTTTCTGCTAGTTATTGAAATTTGGAGGGTTAAGTCTGTATCTAAGAGCCTCCAAGAGTGACCTGGTATCTTCTGAAAGATGACAATCATTGACAATCCTACAGCACTTGCTGCTACTCTGAGATGCATGAGGTTGCTCAAAGTCGCAATCAACTTGACAGAAACTGGTTTTCTTTTTTGGTACCATGCTAGAGAACTCAGCTAATATGTACCATGGGCTGTAGTTATGCATGGTCTACTTGCCAATTTTCTTGCGCACTCAATGATCAGAAAATCCTTGAAAGTGTTTGGCCAATAGGAAGGTGGTATTGATACTCCATGGCTGAACAATGATACAAATGTAGGAAAATGTTAAGATTTTACAAGTGAATTCTCAAGGCATTTGAAGTTAGTGATTTGTAAAGAAAAAAATGCTAATGTCTTAATCTCAGGAGTTATTGAAGGGATAACTCAAATGGTTAGTGTTCTACAACATAATCCACTGGATTGATGGGTTTTCCTGTGTTTTATAGCTTATGTGATATCCTAACACCTTAGTTTTATCACTGGACTGAAACTGGAGGGCCACCTATATACAAAGGAGCTTCCCAAGACAGGACTAAATAAAAGGTCCGTGATTCAAACCCACCCAGCGTGATCAGGAAAACAGGTCTGAAGATCTGCTTTTTTTGGAAGGTAAGCCTTAAAAACTTATTAGCACACAGTTGGATGCTATGTGTTGGAACTGACTCTACTGTAACTAATGAATTCAAATTTTATCCCAGCCTGCTCTGAAGAATCTGGAAGAGAAATGTTGGCATTTCAAGGGCATTGAAACAAGTGTTTTGTTTTGTTTTTATAAGATAATTTTTATAAAGAAATGTTTTACCTATCACATCACACAAATGGCTTCACCTACTAAAATGTGCATGGCTCAATGAGAAATACTTATGAAAAATACCCCCCATCAGTCACAGTGTAGGTGCTTCTGTACTTGATAAAAATGGCACTTTTGGTTTATATAATACGAAAAGATTACCTGTCCCAGTGATCTCCAGTCTAAACTGGCACTGCCAATGTACACATGTTGTTTGTCAACAATCCAGAAGGAGGACTGGAGCCGGCCCTTGTTGTAGGCAGTCATGTTCATGTACGTCACCTCTGCTCCTAGAAGTTCAAGGACATATCAGTCAACTTCTGTTCTTTCTCTTTTTTGGGGGATGGGGTGGGTGGGCGGGGATATTTGCTTGTTTTTTATAGTTTTAAATGCATTTTATTGTGATTTCAATGAATGTTTACAAAACAAGAGAGATTTCGATTCAATCATCTATACATGCTTGGTTCTAGAACATTAATTTTAATAATCACAAAGTAATTGCACTTTTCTCACTTCTTCCTTGTGATTCTCATCTCCATTAATTCTTCTATATCTCTGTTTCTCCTCTTTCTTTTATGATATTATGCTGATCATCGCTATAATTGCTCATTGCCTTTTCTTTCACTCATCTTCATGAGTCTCTATTATTTATTAATTTTTATTTTCCTATCCCTTTCTTCCCATTCCTTGAAATCACCCAGCAATGAGTCCACCTTCACACAAACCTTTCCTTAGCTTTTTTATAGTAGATGTCTTATACAATACTTATCCTTTTGTGACTGACTTATTTCAACTCAACACAATGTCATTTCTATTTATCCATGCCAGCCTCTGTTTTGAAGCCCAGAACTTTTCACTATTCACTTAGGAGAAATAGTCATATCATTTTATTTATTACAATTAGCATTTAGGAGAAGCCAAATCTTTACATTATTGTACAGAAGGTCTACAATAGTTGACTTATTCCTAGAAGGAAGAGTAGAAGAGAATAAAAAAAGTTATAAGACATATTTCCCTCTGTGCAGAGTGACAAGAGAGCAGCTTTTCAAATCCAACCTGCATCCTAGTCCTAGCTCAATGGCAGGATAGACAGAGTATGTTTTTGCTTTTAATTACCAATGAATTGGACTCATGAAAATCCAGTATGTGCGGAGTTGAATTTTTGAGGCTGAAATCTTTCAGATAAAGGGAATTTTGGGGGGAGTTTCAACCATTTTGGGCTAGTTCTGCACTTCTTTGTATAACCCAAAGATCTGTAGTTACCGTTTCCCAACTCTAGAATATTTTCATACGTATTTACAATAAATTCAAAGATCATTCTTGCTGAGTATTATAGTTCTTTTCAACAGGCATTGGTGTTTCTCCCCTTTCACACATTTTTTTAAAAAATTCATTTCCTTTTATAGAATAGTGTCTGGACTGGGATGTTGGGTGGAACAAATGGTTAACTTGTCCAGAAAAATGTAGGTTTCAGAGTGCCAGAGGTGCTCCCAATGAAGAGCCAGGGGAGCTACTGCCCATAACTAAGACATTCAGAGCTTGATGGACGACAGTTCCACTCTGACAAACACGAGGTCACCATGAGTAAGAATCAACTCAATAGGAACCTGGATTACTCTTTAACTGGCTTTTCATTTTCCCTCTTCCCCACCCTCTTCCTTCTTTGTTGTGGATAGGTAGAGATCAGTAACTGCACTTTAGATGGCTGTCTACAAGCTTTTAAGATCCCACTAAAGTCGGATGTACAACACTGCTTTTGCAGACCATGAAAAACCCCATTTTATGCAATGTATTTGTCCAAATTATTTATGTAGTTAGTCCACTGCCAAGCTATTATGTATTTCTGCCTCTATTATATGAACTTAAACTTCTCTAAAGGAGCTTTTGAGCTTTATTTAAATTTGCTAACGGTACACACTCTTGAAAAGAACAAACTCTCTACATATAATCCAGGCTAAACCATCATAATCTTCAAGATCATGGGGACAAAATAGGTTTTCGAACAACGGAGAGGATGCACTCCAGTGGCACACTTCATTATCGGAGTCTTCCTTACTATTGGAATCAAAAGTAGTTTATGACTAAAGATTAACCTTATTGATGCCAAGTCAACTTCAACTCTAGGTGATGCTTTGCATATAGGGAAGAACTTCACAGGATTTATGAATTTTTTTCACTACAAAAAATATTTTTCTATTTTTCTGAGATAAATATCCAGGTCTTCTTTCTGTTTGGACTCGAACTTCCAACTTTTCAGTTACCGAGTACATAAAAAATGTGCACCACCTAGGGACACCTTTTTAATACAGAAGACACACTGTAAGATATTAGCAATAAAGAAAAGTGATTTCAACTATTTCAAACCTTTAACACTTGGGAACATGTAAACTATGCACCAGACTCTTTGTGATGAAAATGCAAAGAGAGGGCAATGGTTTGGAAGAGGATCTGAGAGGAAGGGACTATCCAGACACATATTCTCTAAAGTGAAGATGACTTTTTATGCTAGAATAAGGGCACAAGGTCCCCAGTCTCTATCCCTCCTAGCCCAAGAAATAGTTACTAACCCCAGAGGAAGAATAACTGTGACAGCACTTACGGAGGACCCCAAATTTGCCCAAAGGCACAATTTAGAGATACAACTTTCAGCACTCTTACTTTGCCCTGGGATACATTTTTAAAGTAATAGATCAAACTTAATGAAAGCTGAGGATTTGTGGAAATAGTGGAAAAAAAAAAACCTGATTAAACTATCTAACAACAAGACTTGAATGGACTAGTGGAATCATTGAACAAACCAAAGGAAGAACAAATGGAAATATGTGAAGATAAACTAAAATCAGAAGATCTCCAAGAAAACTCATCTTTGAAGAGACTGATGAGTATAAAAGTGATAAACCAGATGTGATCTTATTAAAGACTTCCTAATTAATGATAGGAAAAATAATCAACAATCAACCAAAACAGAAGACAAAGGTGAAGACTAATATTCTGATTGAGAAAACATTATACCAAGCATTTAGGGGATTATCATCTGTTGTGTTTGATATCACTGTATCTCACAAGTTTTGTAGAAATCCTTGGACAGAAGTATAAAGATACTAAAACAATACTTTTCATGGAAGATTACTTTTGTGAAAAAGAATAAAAAATTAAAACAGAAGCAAGATTATAAACTGAACAATAGCAAGAAGAAAAACAGAAGTTTGCCAAAGAGACTGAGATGAAATCTCTAGAAGATGAGTTACTTGCTGATATTTTCAGGTAGCATAAATGATCACACATTTAGAGAAGATTTTGCTCAGCTTTTTTCTACTCATTTACCACTGGTCTTTCAGTTTGCTGTACTGTGGTGGCTTGTATGTTGCTGTGATGCCACTGGAGTTTCAAATCTAAGCAGGGTCAGCCATGGTGGCCAGGTTTCAGCAGAGCTTCCAGATGGTCTAAGAAGCAGGACTAGACATCCCCTTCTGAAATAAAGGACCTTTGAAAACACTATGGACAATGGTAGGATATTGTTAGATATAATGCTGGAAGATGAGCCTGGAAAGTTGGAAGACATTAAAAATGCAACTGGGGAAGGGCTGCCTTCTCAAACTCAAGTCTATCATAATGATAAAGATGGAGCAAAGCATTCATCTAGTACAGGATCTTCATTTGCTGATGTGCTGACAAGGAGAAAGAGGTGCAAATATTCATTAATAACTGAAATGTGGAATGTAAGTCACATAAATGTTGGGGAAATATGAAGTTGTAAAAAAGATGGAATGCATAAGGTTTGACACCCAGTCATCTGACAGCTGAGATGGATTGGTACTGTTCATCTTGATTCAGACAATCACATGATATACTATGAGGGAAATGACAAATTGAAGAGGAATGGTGTGGCATTCATCCTCAGAAAAATAATTTCAAGATATATCCTGAGGTAAAATGTTGTGAATGATAGGATGCTATCCATACATATGTTAAAAAATCTTATTGATGCAACCATTATTTAAATATACATACTCGCTACAAAAGTGAAAGATGAAGACACTGAGGACTTCCATGAACTTTTATTTTTCTTTCCTTTTTTTATTAGCAACACATTATTTAATATGCATTTATGTGCAAATGGGCTAAGCCCACTCCAAACATAGTGTCAGTCCTGAAAGAATGCAGGACAGCCATTTCCACCATATTTTGTAGTGTAAAACTGATGAAATATGCATTCAAGATGCATTAAAGATAACTGATGAATGGATTGCAAAGGTTGGGGAAAAAAAGAAGGACTAGAAGTTAGAATACAGGGCCTTGGTGACAAACAAGTTTGGAGAGTGGATGATGGGATCTTGAACAAACAATGTTTTATTCATTGTTAATGCTTTTTCTTGCTAATCCATTGTGTCATGAAAGTCTCTATGTCAGCCAATTCCTTTTGGTACAGTGACTCTGTATACTCCTTACATCTTCTTTTAATGCTTTCTGGATCATTTAATATTCTGCCCAAAGTATCCTTAAGTATTGCAGCTTGGGGCTTGATTTCTTTTTTCTTGCTGAAGATTATTTTGTAAAATTTTATACAGATTTATTTACAAAGTTTGAATATATTTTTTTTCACAAAAGATCCTTCTCATCTCATTCACTCCCTCACCTATTGAATTGTGCAACCCTATAATTAACATCCACCCTCATCCCCCGCCCATCCTCACCCCTCTGCTTCCACACTTCCCTCCCTTAGATCCTTATATTTATTCATTCTACAATAAGGTTTTCTACAGTGTTCGTCCTTGTGGGACCGAGCTAGTTGACTCAGTATATAATGCTTTCCAGTCCCTCCCAAGTAAGGTAGTAATTTACAAAATGATTGCTCCTGCGTGCTGCATAGTATTCCATTGTACGAATGTAGCACAACTTCTCAATCCATGCGTTTGTGGCTGGCCATCTAGACTGTTTCCATGTTCTTGCAATAGTGAATAATGCTACTATGAACATTGGTATTCAAGTTACTGTTTGAGTTCCAGTTCTCATTTTCTTGGGACATATTCCAACCAATGGAATAGCTGGGTCATATGGAGTTATTATGTTCATATCTTTCTGAGGAAGTACCAAACTGCCTTCCTGAGTGGTTATACCATTTTGCCATTCCACCAACAATGTAAAAGAGTTTAACAAGGTGACTGCTATAATGGGGTTTTGTGTGGCAGCAAATATGGAGATGGAAGAAGATAGCACAGGGTTCAGCATAGATATGATTTTGAATCATACTTGACTTAACGGCACACACCACCACCACCACCACCACAGA